TTCAGTCTGTGGGCGTTTCTCCTCGTTTCAATTTGAAACGCATTTTTTTCAAGTGGTTTTTTTCACAACAGCGACCACAACTCCTCTGCAGCATTTAGCAGTACATAAAAATGAAGCACAGCACGAACAAAGTGGAATATATAAATGTTTCACTCTCTATATAATTAAATCTTAAAATGCATTTTGTGACCACACGAAATTGATATTTTTTTTCTGTCGGTTTTGGCTTTATGGGCATTATGTAATCAATATCTTGAATGTGGCCATCAGTTTGTAATGGGTTAAGTCTTTTGGCTGGTAAATTGATATGCAAAAGGCAACAGAAACGACCGCAAATGAAGTGAGATAATGAGGGTTAAGATGTGATTGGGATTGATACTTTGAAAGGGTCATTATGGGCGTTGTTGGAAATTGAGATGCTGATTGGGAAAGTTAAATATATATAGTCAAAATAAATCCAATTAAAAAAATATTTGGAAAAATAAGTTACAAACCTCTCTATAATTAGTTTTTATAAATATATTTATTTATTTAAAGTGTTTAAACTAGTTAATTATTTCTTGATTTTCAAGCGCTTTCCTCTTTATTCCCACAGTAATTACCCACTAAAACCCACACATTACCATTCCATCGTCTTCAATTTACGTCAGCAACGTTCACTTAGCCATTCAAATCACAGATTTGTGTGTCAATTAAAGAAAGCTTACATCGAAAGCGTTTTAAGCGGCTGCTCGGAAGTTTGGCCATATAATTAACACTTATAATCGACCGGAATAAAAAGACTTTCAACTCTATTCCTCTCTCTTTGATCTGCACTCACAAATTACTTGCACAAATAGCAATCATTAGACAAATTGCGCGGCCATTACAAAGTGCACTACGTGCCACCAACAACTCTTGAAAAAAAAATAAAAAATAGGCAATAAAAGCACAGGAAAGAGCCTTTTAACTAACACTAATGCTTGATTAAACTTTCAAATCAACTAAAGCCGTTGAAGATGCAGTCTCCAGATTGAAACTTCAGACACTCCTCCTTTAAAGTTAAGAGCCCGTTCAGCTGGCAGCATCTTTCATCAACTTTGACACCCGAGAGTAACCTGGCCCCTTAAATATTTTCTTCCTACTTTCCATGCACTGTTTTTTTTTTTGTTTTTTTTTCTGGCCGCTTTTCCGCCTTGCCAAAATTTATGGCCAAATTTTCCCAGACTTTTCCAGCGCAAAAGCGCCAAGAGCCATCACGCTTGTCACGTAGTTCAAGTGGCGCGCGGAGTAAATTGCAACGCTTTATTATTGAATTATGTTTCATATTTTATGTTTTACCATTTCTCGTCAATGTTTTTGTCCAACACCCCATGTGATTAGGATTTATGGGTTTATTGATTTCGAATTAATTGCGGAGCATCGATTGATGGCCAACCTGTTGTTGTAACACTTTGGATTGCAGCTAAAGCTGCAAATCTGTGCAATTAATCAAAATTGTCGGCAACGTTTCAATGGGGCCGTCAGATAGCCGAGATTTGTTTGAGATCTCTAAGCTTACCTCATCGCGAGCTTTTTTAATTCGAGCCGTTGAGATATTGACAGATTGACAAAGTGAGCATGCGCCACACCAGAATCGATTGAGTGGGTTTATTGGAGCGCTGATTGAACGGATCGACAGCTGGGATTGAAATGTTGAGTGGTTTTCAAGTCGATCGATGGATTTTCTCAAGTCACTTCTGAGTGATTAGTGAAAATGGGATTTCTAGATTTGCTTACGAAATAAGAACCAAGTAATCCTGATTATAAAACGTAATTAAAATCCATTACTCTTAATTAAACCATTCTCGATCGATATAATCTTAACCATCGGACCAATTATGTAATTATTCTTTATTATCTCGGTCCTAACTCATTTCCAATCCTCCAAAGAGACTCCCCACTTGGCAAACTGCCTTGTTTTAAACCCACAAAGAACGTCGATCTAATCTGCGTCGCGACGCCCAGAACAATGCAAATAAATCATAATAATTATTGATTATAGTTGCCCACACAAATCAAAACGAACAAAGGCTTCATTTCCAGCATTGGTCAAGTCCGAACAAAAGTAATTCGATTGGCAATTTGCATTACAAAAACTATTTGAAAATTGTACAATTGTACAGTCCAAAAATGACAATGAGCCAAAAGGTATTTTAATTACAAATTGCAAGAAGGTGGGATTGGGATTGCAAAGGCGATAAATAGCTCTCCGCAGACAGACTGTGGATGGATAGTTTGTAATTCCAGTGCAGTCCAACGATTTTTCACGGCGCAAATCAAAGGAAAAAAGGCAGCCAAGTGGCACAGCAGCAAGCACCAAAAGGTAAACGGCGAGAAAATTATATGGTAAATTTTTTTGTCAGCCCAAAAAATTATTAAAACATATTGTTGTGAAGTGTCTTAAGAGGTTAAGCTAAATTATTAAAAATATTTTACTTTCATAATATTAAAAATCTATTACTATTAAAATGTATGTACAAGTAAGCAATTTTTTTTTACAGAACTAAAGATATTTTATTTATTTAGATTTTTTTTTAAATGCTGAAAGATAAATTAAAAATCCTTCACAAAAATGTGAATTACTTTTTTCTGATTTAATATTTTTTTTCGCGCTGTGTATCAACAAACGGCTACCAAACAGCAACAGCAGCAACAATGAGCAGTCTGCATTCATTTGAATATGCGGCGCATGCAGGCGGACGGACCCACAGATACCCCGATAGCCGAACCCCCGATTCCCCCGGGAAACCCCCATATCCCCCGTCCATATCTATCTGCCTAGCATCTGTCAGAGCAAAGTCGCTTGTAACTTTCCCCCATAAACTAGCGACGAACTGCGACTTGGCCATGGCACAAGATAAAGAAATTGGCTGCACAATTTCGGATCACAGGGAAAAATATACGTATACAAAAAAAGGGGCGGGGGAAAACTAAAGGTGTCTGTCAACTGTGCATTTTTTTTTCAAGTGTGCTTTGTTTGTTTGTCAATCTGTCGGTGGTGCAGTGCGTTTCGAGTCTGGATTTTGTTTGGGCATCGGTTTGGTTTTTCAGCCTCTGTCTCCTCATTTCTCTCCACCGATGCCTGATTATTTCACTTGATTTGTGTTATGCAAATTGATTTTCTTTTCTCTCTCGTCTCGTCGACTGTTTGTGTGTGTTTTGGTGAGTTGTTTATGGAAAGGTAGCTACCTTTTTGATTGGCCTTTGTGCAATAGCTAAGCTTATGATTGCACTTGAATCAAAAGTATTCAAAGTGAGCAGTTTATGTGTGGCGACACAGATGTGTGATGATCAGTGTGTGGGGATAAAAATTGGATGTTTATGGGGAGAGAAAAGCTATAAATCAGTTAAAAATTGTTGGACTTCAAAAAACTAGATTTTTTATTTTCTGAGATGGTATTTTTGCTTTTCCTTATCTGATTGAGTTTAAGATAAATGGAGATAGAAGCAGCAAAATCAAACAGTCGCTTGAAAGTGTCGCCACCTATCGGAAATTTTCCTCCTAACTTCTTTTACATTTCGATTGGTTAATTGCCTAATTTTTTTTACGAGTATTGGGTATAAAAATATAAAATGTCTGAATTTTTATTTAAGTTAATTTAATTTTTTCTTTATTATTTTAAATTAGAAAGAAATTTAAATTGTCTTACTAAATATTTAGTTTAGCCCACACTCCCACATCATGTCAAAAATACACAATGAACCACTGTCAATTAAGCCCATAAGTCATAAACGGCAATTACCATATTTTCTGCAAATAGTCAGTGCACAATTCTATGGCTTTATTTAGCAATTGCCACAGAGACTGAATCTTGACCATAGAAGCAGCCCCAACAGGCCATCTATCTCTATCCCTATATGTACAGACATATCTCTATCTGTGGCCATCTGCATCCGTATCTAACTATCTGCATGGCAGTGGTAAATGTGTTCCACTTGGCTGACCCCCGATACACTCTCTCATTGTAGTTTTCAGCTACTGCCCTGCTGTTGATTTGCCTAATTTCGTTTTACGGCTTTTGGAGGGAACAACATCACAACGCCCACCAATTCCGTAATCGTAATTCCGAGAATTTATTGCAATCGGTGGGCAGTGCAGACAGACTATATGGATAACATGTAGATGCCATAACTTTCCACTGTGTATTATGCAGATTATTAAATAATTAAAGCAATCGTGGGTGCCAAAACTAGCGGCAATTGATTAATTGTTTTAGCGTGTTTTAAAACTATTTTAACCCCCATTTCTTGGCCCTCCCGCACAAAGTCGATTGCAGTCGATCTCAAGCAGTCTGAACAGTTTGTTTCGCGTGTTAGAACACCGATTGCTATTTTGGACTTGAGGCCAGAAACGTGTTTTGTCTGTTTCATCGTGAAATATGCAAATTTTCGAGCTTGAAGACTGAAGACTCTGAGTATCTAACAGATAGGTGTGCGTGCCGCTCAAAAACTCAATCGGACAGGTCTCAAACGAGCGTTTTTCTCTCATTTTATTTGTATTTTTCTCTATATTGTATCTCTGGCCATATCTCAAGCTCTCTGGTTGGCTCAACTCTCGATATCGGCGACGTCGTGCTGAAATCGTTGAAATCTCGCCAGTTTCATTTGAGCCGCGCTAAAAACCGATACGCGACAACGGCTGACACAAAAAAGTTAACGATAATAACAACAACAAAATAGTTGAAAACAAATCGCAACAACCACAAACGACAAGCGATTTTTTGAATAATTATAAGGCGACGCTTTAATTGTTGTAAAAAGAAATTAGCAGGCAAGCGAGCGAAAAACGTGCAACGAATATTTTATGAACATTTGCAAAAAATAAGAAAATAAGGGAAAAAATAATTAGTGCTTAGTTTCGGTGGTAAAACAAAAAACAAAAGATAAATAGATACCGCAGCACTGAAAGATACAACGAACCGAACCGAACGGATACAAAGAGAACACCCAAGACGACCTTGACAAAGTCGCAGAAACATAAAGCGAAGCAACACAAGACAAATGCTATAAAGACTAGTCATCAAAAATAGCCGAAAAAGCAACGAGAAAGAAAAACTGAAACTGTAAAAAGTATTATTTAAAGTGTATTATTAATTATACGAAAAACGAAACCACAACGCCCCCAAAAACCAAAAAACAATTACGAATTTATAGCCTTAAGCTCATTTTTTTTTATATAGTTTTTGGTGGGCGTCTGTCTCAAATGTGCCATAAAAACAAAAGATAACGAAGAAGCCAGATTTGCAATTAACTAAATAAGTGAATACTCACCGAGGAATGTTGTGTTGTGTGCCCGCGAGGACCTTCGAAGAGATTGAGCAATGTTCGCCCCCCGAAACTCATCGCCGACTGCCATTTACGGCAAGGAGGATGTGGCAGCCTACGAGGTAAAGGTCCAGTAACGTAACCAGGATTTATTTAAGGGGGGTTTTTACTACAAATGTTGTGTAGCATACTTTTGAAAAAACATGCTTTAGATAGGATTTTATAAAAAAAGGGGGTGTTGAACCCCTTTCTACGCCCCTTTAAAGGTCGTCCACTTTCAGGAACGGAACGAAATCGGTTCCATTTCAACTTTCATTCGACTACTCCTCTACTCGGTTAGAAAGCAAGTTCTCGCTGGCTTTTCACTTGCGTTTGCTTTTTCCCCCTTTGCATACTTATTGGCCAAGAGCACAACATCCGTTTGGAAATGGTTTGGTTTGGTTTGGACATACTATATCCATGACTGAGATTTCTACCCACTCTCGGATCTCGAACTCTATACCGCATGATTCATTTCGCTACAAAACTTTTGTCTCCGCACTTGTAATGGATTTTTGTGGTTTTTGCCCCGGCATAAATGTTTCTACATACAGTTGCGAAAAAAATAATAGCACCACTTCGTCACAGGTTCTTAATATTAAAGAAATATGTGGAAAGCGGGGATTTTTATATAAGAAGTGTTTTTTATTATCTTGATTAGTATTCCACCTATTTGAAAAAATTGATACGGATATCGAAAATATTGTCTACATATAATTTTTTCAGATTTTAAGAAAAAAAGTCAAAAAAAGGCCGAAAAAAATAATAGCACCACTTCCGTTTTCTTTAAATAAAACGTTACGATGCGCTAATATTCTTGTGTATAAAGGATATATTCTATGAGATTTGACTAAAACTAACTTTTCCTGATATCCAGACATGAAATTGATTACCATTTGGCAATACAAGGACATGTGGAAAATTTTCCAAGTCGGAAAAGAAAAATATTAAAAAAAAAACATTTTGGATGGAAAACGGTCATGAAAACCGGTTGGATTGGATAGGTTTTGGATCACCTTCATTAAGAATGGCATAAACTTTGAAGAATAACACAGAAAAACCGAGTCCTGGCCCATTTTTCCTTCCAAAATGTTATATCACAAAGCACAAAGAATCTTATCAGGGCCAAAGCTAAACTAAAACACGTGCTTAAAATAATAGCGAATATTTTAATAGTTGGATAATGATTCAATAAACAAATTTATAAAACATGCACTTAAAAAAAAATCCTATCCGAAATGGGAAACACATTTACCAGGGCATAGGGCTCGTCAAAAAAAACTTACAAATGAATGCCCGCAAACTTATGAGAATGTGTGAAGGCAAAGTTAAATTGGGTAAGAAGAAATGCTTTTTATAAGTCATGTGTCTTCTAAACACCCAAATTGACCAAAAACATGGTACCAAAACATCCATTTATTGAGCATGGAGCTAGTATTAACATAGGCTTGTTTTTCCTTCTTGAAGTAAGATCAATACGGATGAATACATCGTTCATAAATTATCCTATGATGTAAATAGTAATACTGTAGTAATTCGTAGCTTAAACTGAATACAAAATACTTCTTAAATGAATCTTTGACCAATAAAATCCGGCCAGGATCACGGTCAGGATAGCAAAGAAAGAGTTCGAAAGTACTCAGTCAGCAATATACAGTGACTTGTGTACTCGCTTGACCATAACACAACCAAAAATCGTCGAGTTTTTTTTTAAAGACAGTTTATACAGTTAATCTAAAACGTCTTAAATCATTTCCGAACAAAATTTGAAAATATATCATGACTTTTGGGCCCCAATTCCTTTATAGTTAGGGTCCTGACTTGTTTAATCGATAGTAAGTCATTATATCCAAAAATCGCAAAAGATATTTACACTTTAAACTTAGATTTACTTGTTAGCTACCGCCAACTAAAGATTAAGTTACCCATTTGTCATTTTTCTACCTTTTATTCTATTTTTAGAGAAGTGGTGCTATTATTTTTTTCGTACGTTTTTCCAGTTTTGCATAGATTTTCTTAAATAAGTCCAGAAACCTTTTATAAAGCTAACATTTTTTTTCATATTCAAATTATGTTTAGTCTTACTATTTAAAACCCGTTTTGAAAAGTTAAAAAAGTTAAAAAATGTGAGTAGGATGACTAGTTAAATTTTTTTTGGGTAAGTGGTGCTATTATTTTTTTCACAGCTGTATATTCTAGTTGAGCTTCGAGCTGCCGCGTTTTGAGGCCCCAGGGTAATTATAGGCAATTAGCTAATGTCGGCAGCTTCTAAAACTCAAAGGAGGAATCTCAATAGAAAATACCAGTCCTATTGTATTTGCAAACAGAAAAATTCTGACTTAATTCGATTTTGTTCTATCGAAAATCTCTTGGCTCGGCTTGGATTTTTGGCTTGTTTTCATAGTCATAAACATTTTGTTCACGTAAGCGCCTTGTGGTCACAAATGTATCCGAAGGTATATTTAGCTGCCATTTGTATGTAATGCATACTATGTATTGCTCTTTGTACACAGAAAAAAATATATAGTTAAAGTTAAAATAATTGAAAATTCACAATTCACATTTTTTAACCCGCTTAAAAATAAAAAAAAATCTAAAAAGGTTTCTTAAACGATTTTCATTGTAACTTATATTGATTTTACGTTTTTTCCAGTGCACTCGTTTTTATTTCTTAGCTTTGTTATGAGGGCCATGTTCGTTTGGCGAGTAAGCCGATGAAAGCCAATTGGAAATGCACGAAACGTGGTAGGGCAAACGAAAATAAGTAACAAAAAAGCATAAAGCACACACAAACCAGAAATTCTGTTTGTCAAAGAGAACAAAAAATAGATTGCAGCACAGATTTTGCATATATTTATGCCAAGAATTAATATTCATGGGATAATGCCAAACACTCAAAAGTCGCTGACTTATCAGCCTTTTAATAATTCACGCCTAAATTATGCAAGATATTCTTAATGAAAATCTTTTCCTGTTATGTTTATTTATTTTATTGATTTAGCTAGTAGGCAATTAAGCCTGGCTTTTGTTTGAGGCGCTAGTGGGGATTTGGCTGCTGGAGTGTAACCAAACTAATAATTTGCGGCATGCCATGTTTAACACAGAGAGTCTTGATTGGATTAAATATAATTATTTATGAACATGTTCAATGTTCAAGTATAAATATTAATAAAGTAATGGAGAAATGGAGCTGAAAACTAATTTCCTCGATTTTCAGTCATGTTAAGTTCTTCTCACCGAAGAAGGTTTTAAATTTGCATATTTTCAGCTCTCTTGGTAAACATTTTCATTGCGTGATTGGTTGGTTTGACACCTGTCCGCTGGAAATGCTTCAGTTTATTTGTGGCCTTTTTCGCTCGAATTGTGGGCAGAAATCCGAAATGCTTCAGACCATGTGGGTTGGGTTTAGAATTTGGCCAACAAATGCAGCCAACAGCTGCGTGCATTGAACTTGGACAAAACAATAAGCAGTAAAGTCAGGCACTTCATTAACAAACCGCGGGCATTGGGCCAAAAGCCAAAAAGCCACTTGACCGAAAAGTGATTTGCCCCGGGCCTCTTGGCCAATTTTACCGACTGGTCATGGCCAAGATCTCGTCACTCGTTAAATAATAATTAATTATCATTTAACTGCCGCATCTGTCACACAAAATGGAAATTTGAGTTCTATTCCGATAGACATAAATTTCGCTACTCTACACCAAATATGTTACAAAAGAATTTCGCTTTGTTTGGCTTAGTTTTTTGTGGGCTCTTTTGTATTTGGCAGCACCCAAATTAAGCTTTGATGAATGGCCTGTGTTGACTTCCGTTTGGTCAAAAAAAAAGAATTAAATGTGTAAAATAAATGGAATTTAAAATACCTTTCGACGGGCGGCAGCAACTGTTTGTGGTAGAAAAAATATGTTTTAAAAATAATGAAAATAAATAAATGAAAATAAGAGAAACTCCACGTGAATTTATGTACAAAATTTTTGGTTTGAAATCAAAGAATTTAAAGAAATGAAAAATTTAACAACTAAACTATATATATAAATAAATATAACTTTTTCCAATTCTTTAAACACATATTTAAATCCCTCAAAACCGACAATCATTTCCAAACAAATAAACCTCTTGAAATTATAAAAAGCCCATTAATTTTTTCCTCTGCTTGTGATTTGCCTAATTATCATTTGAAAACGAATTAAAAACAGCAGTTGAATTCAAAGCTCACGGATTTGGTTGCGCATACGCCCCGTAATTGCTTGACTACTTCGATATCTCTCTCTTTATTTTTCACTTAAACGAAATCGATGCCAGTTGGTCATGTTTTTTGGGGGAGGCTGTGATTATCATTTTACAGTCATGGCTAGCATTTTTTTATTGTTGTTATATTTTAGTCATGCTCAGAAAATTTGTTTACAATTTCACGGCATATCAGTGTCATTAAAAATGCAAATATGCGGGAGAGGAACGAGTGAGAGACCTGAAAACCGGTTCCCTAGATCGACCTTATGCATTAAAATATAGATTTTAAAGGCTGCGTTGGTGTGGCTTGATATTCGCTTAAGTGAAACAAGCCAATAAAGTAATTCTCGTAGTAAACAAACGCTCGGAGCTTGAAGCTACTTGGTTTTGTTTCTGTTTCTCTGACACTTCGAGATGATCTCAGCCGGAATATATTCGTTGACTTTGTATCGGAATCCGAGTTTGCGATTCGCATTTGCGACGCAGAAATATAATCTAACATCTTTTGGATGCTCTCAGCATGCCAAAGTTGACACAGTCGTCGTATGGATCGCCCACTGTTGGGTTCTGATTTACGTCTGTCCAGAATACCATATATCGTTTTTTTTTTTTAATATTCGATTCCAATGCGGTAGTGTTGACTTGCACTTCCTTTTCACTTTGCTATTTGCTATTTTTTTTGCCATAGCTTAAAATACCCAACCTGTTGTGTTCTGAGTTATACGCCCCGTAATTGTTTTAGTTTTTGTTATGGCTTTTTTTTAATAACTAATAAGTAGCTTGGGCAAGATCAAGGTGAAGCTCTGGCGAGGCGTAACAAAGCGGCTTTTAAATACAATAAGGCAAATCGAAAAACAAAGACCCGCAATTGTTGGGTTTTAATGAATGAAATCATTACAGTTCTTTAGGTAACAATAAAGTATTCTAAATTATTTTAAACACCTGAAAATAAATATAAAATATAAACAAATTTGATTGGTTTTTTTTTTTTAACTACGAAATTTGAAACCAGCTTTCGCCCCTTGTGGGGAAATATTAAAGTTAGCAAATTTTGTTAATAAACTATTGATGGAAAACGTAATAAAAAACATTGGAAAATCATGTTAACATGCTGAGGCAATTTCTGTTGTTTATGTTTATGTAAATCGTATAAGGCTGGGTTCAAATGTAAACAACATGATAAATGTGCGAATTGTGTGCGTTAACAATTCACACAGCACGTTAACTTCGCTTGGTTGTTATTTTAGGCAAATATTCCACAAACTGACCTTGCCGAAAGCGAAAAAAAACTTAGCAAATAAACTGGAACCCCGAGTGTTGTGATGTAATATCTAATGTTATGATGTTCTCTTTCCTCTTTTGCAGATAAAACTCAAAAAGGTTTTGGGCCTGACTGTGTGCAGCAATGCGGCTCTGGATGTCTCCCCAGTCAGCGGCCTGCTGGCCTATCCAGCTGGGTAAGTTTCATATATCTCAAGAATATTACATATCCAGCAGCGCAAAAAAGGAAGCCATCAGAACCTCCAACTCATTTCCTTTTTGGTTCAGGGTAAAATTCAATTCCGTTAAATTTTGTGTGCTTTAACTTTGCCCAGTCACAAAAAAATAAAACGAAAAGTGCAATGAAAATGCTTGATTTAATCTCTCTTCAACTGTCGCACATGGCTGCATTTTTCCCATCTCGACGAGGAAAATCTGTGACAGCCCCCGGGGGGAGAGGAAAAAGTGGGAGGGGCAGTGCTGACATAATGTCAACGCGATTGCTGTTTTTCCGCACAGGATTTGCATATGCCACTGAATATTTGCTTAGCTCGCAATAGGCTATTACGCGGCGTATACGTAATAAACTGAATAATTGTAATTATCAATGACAGATTGGTTAAACGAAAGTTTAGTAGAGATAATGGAATGCGGCAGGAAATTAAATGCCATGACAGTTGATATCTCGGCTTAAGGAAAATCCTTGCCAATTAATTTCGAACAGAAGGTCAATTTATTCCATTTACTTTATCCTCTTAAATCTGAATCCTTTTTTCGCATTTAAATTGTCGTTTCTTTATCCTGACAACATTTCAATTATAGTAAATTAAGCCGAGGAACTCTACTAATTATGTGCATTAACAGAAAGGGCATATTTACGCTTCCATTGCGATGCAAAAGTTTTTTTCTTGGCTCACACATGTATGCATAGTACCATTTGCAAGCATGAATAAATAGAAAATGCCGGGGGATTTTTTTTTCACAGACTACAAGTGAACGCTAAATGCACTAAGAAAAATATATAAATTAAAGGGAAGATTTTTTTTAAATTCTATACATATTAAAATGGTAAAAAAAAATGTCACAACATGTTCTTAAATATAAAATATTTTCTATACTTAATTCCATTAATCCCACAAAACCTATATCATAGTTTCTGATACTTAATGTAGAAGTGTATAACCCTAAGTGAAAGATGTGGGCGTGATGCGCTCATTAACCGAGCAACAGTAGCAATAACAGAAATAAAAAAATGGGGAGGCCAAAGAGCAGCTTAATAATGAGCCAGGCGGCCAGGCAGTTAGCTTCTGGCTTAAGAGGGTTAAACGGAGGCAGGAAAAGGTTGAAGGTGGTAGGGTGGAAAAAAAGAGGGGACCAAGCAGAGCAGAACCTACATCCTTGGGCATTTGCAATGTGTAACCAACTTTTACCGCCTCCCTTGGTCAAGGACGTCTTTAAGCGGTCGGGGCCAGCAGATAAACACCATTGAGTGTAAGGACTAACAACTTAAATAGGCAAAAAAAATAGTTTAACAATTTATATTTTAAATCGTAAATATTTTATTCTATTTTTGAATCTAAATGTAATATTTTCACATACTTAATTTACGACGATAAGCGATTTTATTTGAAGCATTCTAATTCATTTGGCATTTAATCAGCAGCGAAACCAAATACTCTCAGTAAATATAAACAAATCACTTCTTAGCAGCTGGTCATAACATTGCGACTAATTAATCACACTTGGGTTTTTTTTATATCATTGTTTTAATGTTTACTATTTGTTTACCAAATCTTTTTTAAACTTTTTCTATAATATATTTAAATATTATTTTCTCATTTATCAACATAATTATCTTAATTTTTCAGCTGCACCGTGGTGCTGTTCAACGCGAAGCGCCAGACACAGGCCTATTTGGTCAACACCTCCCGCAAAGCATTCACATCCGTGGCATTTTCGCGATGTGGTCGCTATGTGGCCACCGGCGAATGTGGCATCAATCCGGCGATCAAAGTTTGGGAGCTGGAAACTCCTAACGGAAGTCTGGAGCACTGCAGCGGCGGCAGTGTTGTTGCCGAGTTTGTGGACCACAAATACGCCGTCACCTGTGTGGTGAGTCTTTTTCAGGGATTTTAATAAACTTTCTTAATTAATAATTCCGATTCGCTTTTGTACGCAGGCCTTTTCGCCCACTGGCAAGTACCTGGTTTCGGTGGGCTCCCAGCACGACATGATTGTCAACGTGTTCGACTGGCGGGCCAACCTCAAGATGGCCTCGAATAAAATCAGCTCCAAGGTGGCAGCCGTGTGTTTTGCCGAGGATGGCAGCTATTTCGTCACCGTGGGCAATCGCCATGTCAAATACTGGTATCTGGAGGGTGGAAGAAAGGTGGGTCCATAGCCTGTAGATATCCCAAAATCTTTGGTAAAAAATTGTAAATTTTAATAATTTTAAAAATAAATATCTTTGATTTCAAAGATTATGTCTTATTAGTAAAACAAAAGCTCTGTTGCTTTGAATATTTTATTTTAAAGTTACAAAATAGAACAATCCCATACATACTGCATAAAATGTAGATAAATTGTAGATAATGTGTAATATGTAATTTTAAAGGAATTCATGTGCGCTACTCTGCTGCCTTGAATATTTTATGAACCACTTTGTGCCGAAGGTCAAGAGCTAATGATTTACGTCCTTTGCAGTACAAGGATCCCATTCCCCTGATGGGACGCAGCGCCATTCTGGGCGACTTGCGGGACAACGACTTCTGTGCGGTGGCCTGCGGCAAGGGGATCTGTGCGGAGAGCACGTACGCCATCACGCGGCAAGGCCATCTGGTGGAGTTCAGCTCCCGCCGCCTGCTGGACAAGTGGGTGCAGTGCCGCACCTCCAATGCCAACTGTATCTGCGTGAACGAGCGATTCATCCTCGTGGGCTGCGCCGAGTCCATCATTCGCATCTTCAATGCGGCCACGCTGGAATACGTGACCACGCTGCCGAGGACCCATTACTTGGGCGTGGATGTGGCCCAGGGCATCCAGATCAACCACATCATGTCGGTGCCGCAGCAAGCCAAGTTCCCGGACTGCATCGCCATGGTTTTCGATGAGCAGCGTTGCAAGGTTTGATGATTAATCAGAGTTCGGAAATTAACACACATGTTAAAAACACGAATAATTGTATTTTACAGTGTGAGCAAAATTGTTGACACGTGTGTCAAATACAAAAGTGATAAAATGTGAAAAATAATTGTTAGCACACACAGCTCACTTTTGTTTTTTACACAATAAGTTATTAACACGACGTGTTTTGCACACTGTGTTTTTAACACAAACGAAAACATTAACGAGTCAAAGGGAAAGTGAAAAACCAATACGGGCCATGATATCTTATTGTGTTAATAACAAGTCGTGTAAAGAACACAAACGACATGTGTGCGTTATTTATGTTTCTAACATATGTAGGATACCATTTTTTACACACAAGTCAATAACTTTTTTTGACTTTAAAAATGTTAAGAACACAAGTTTTTTAGATCGTGTGTTATTTTCCGAACCCTGTGATAAATATAATTAAAAAAATATTTTTATATTCTAATTCCGAATTAAATTCTCCCAGGTGAGCTGCGTCTACAACGATCACTCTCTGTACATCTGGGATCTGCGCGACATCTCACGGGTGGGCAAGTCGCACTCGTTCCTCTATCACTCCACTTGCATCTGGGGCGTGGAGACAGTGCCATATAATGTGGAGCGGGAGCCGTCGCAAACCCTGCCTGAGGAGTGTTTCGTCACCTGCTCCTCGGACGACACCATTCGCGTCTGGGGACTGGACGGGTGTACCAACAATGATATCTACCGCAGGAACATCTACTCCAAGGAGCTGCTGAAAATTGTCTACAGCGACGAGGAGCTGCAGTTCATCAAGGATCAGGGCTCCTCGCTGTTCGACAAGGCCGGAAACTCGTCTTATGATGGACGGAATGGAGTGCGTTGCATCAAGATCAGTCCGGAACTGCAGCATTTAGCCAGCGGAGATCGGTGCGGCAATATACGTGTGTATAATCTGGTCAATCTGCGCCTGCTCACCACCATCGAAGCCCATGAATCGGAGGTGCTTTGCCTGGAGTATTCCAATGAGCGGATCGAGCGAAAGCTGCTGGCCAGCGCCAGTAGGGATCGTCTCATTCACGTCTTTGATGTGGCCCAAAACTATCTGTTGCTGCAGACCCTGGATGATCACAGCTCCTCCATTACCTCTATTAAGTTTGTGGGTGCCGGACTCAATTTCCAGATGATCAGTTGCGGAGCGGATAAGTCGATTATGTTTAGGAGTTTTCAGGTAAGATCTTCTTTTCTTTAAAAGGTGTAGATTTTTTAATCTATATTATCCTTCACAGGGCAACATCTTCATGAGGGGAACCAACACCTCCGGCAAGACGACCTTGTATGACATGGAGGTGGACTCGAATTCGAAACACATTTTGACCGCCTGCCAGGATCGCAATGTGCGGGTCTATGGAACACAGAATGCCAAGCAAACGAAGACCTTCAAGGGTTCCCATTCGGACGAGGGAAGTCTCATAAAACTAAGTCTCGATCCCAGCGGCATCTATGTGGCCACCTCGTGCACGGATAAAACCCTGGCCGTCTATGATTACTACTCCAGCGAGTGCATGGCCAGGATGTATGGACACAGTGAGCTGGTCACGGGTTTGAAGTTCACCAACGATTGCCGACATCTGATCTCGGCGAGCGGCGATGGTTGCATATTCATCTGGCAGGTGCCTCATGATATGATAGTCACCATGCAGGCGAGGATGTCGCAGCAGCGTCTGAGATCGGGTCATGCTCCTTTGCCTCGGCCACTGGCGCCCATTTCTCCGCCGGATGGTATTGTCCTAGAATCACCGAGCAGCGAAATCGAGCAACCCAAATTCGGGGTGGCCGAGAGGTTCTCGGATGTGGGCCAACTGCCGCAGTGGGCGATGCGAAAGGCAGCCGGGGATTCGGATAGCGGAGCCCTGTCCATTCCCACGCCCAGTGGATCCACAAATGTACCTGCCATGCATGCCGCCTCATCGATGGGCAACCTCAGTTCATCGCCCAGTCAACAGATGCCGGGATTGGCACCCCGAGCAAGGGGAAGATGGGCCCAGCGGAGCACTCAGCTGGAGCCGACGGCCGATGATCTGCGTTCCAACTCAGAGAGTCCTTTGGGAACCGTCTCGTCTGTAGGTGGTCATAGCGGTGTGAATGTCCAGACCTCTGATTACAATAGTGCATCTTCCAAGGACATTACGTACAATCAAACGTATTTGAGTGAGGACTCGTCTATTGATTCCGGGATGGAGACGCGAAGGGGCGAGCTCAAGTTCATCGGCAGCAGCAGCAATGGAACAGTGGTCACCGTGTCCTCCGTCTCCTCGCTGGCCGTTTCTGCCTCCAATGGTGCCATGTCAACCGGTTCTGGAGCTGCCCAACAGCGTCTCCAGCTGCCGGATAAAAGGTTGAAGCCGGGTCTGCGCTTCGATACCCACTCCCATGATCATGATGGTGATGTGGAGGATATTTCCGATGGGGAAAGAACCAGCTCCGACCATGGAATGTTCTACAACAACCTGGCGCCCAGCACGCCAACGTAAGTATATAGCAGGGTTCGGAATATAACACACATGTTAAAAACATGTAAAATTGTATTTTACAGTGTGAGCAAAGTTTTTGTGTGATGTGAAAAATTAACACAACGTGTTTTCTACACCCTGTGTTTTTAACACATTTTATGGACATTGACGAATCGATATCTTAATCGTTATTTTTAACCGTTTCAAAGCATATATATATATAATTTTTTCAACTACAGAAAACCGTGAATTTTTCAGTTTAACATATATTTCTGACGTTTTAATGTCAAAAACTCATTGTGTTTAAAAACACGTTGTGTAAAAAACACGTCGTGTAAATAACACAAATAAACTGTATGTGCTATTTATGTTTCTAACACTAGCTACAATTTTTTACACACATGTCAATAACTTTTTTTGAACCTAACACTTTGACATGTTAACATGTTAACATGTTAATAACACAAGTTTTTTACAGAGTGTGTTATTTTCCGAACCCTGATATATAGAAAAGAATGCTAGATATATTACAGTTAATAATAAATTATTTCCTGCAGAGATTTCAAGGTGACGGCCATGAACGAGGACGAGCTGCGCAAGTCGGTGCGCCGTCAGAAGTTCGAGAAGTCCGGCCTTCAGCTTACCCCTTCGGCGCTCAGCGGAAACGGAAGTTCGCATACGGCGAGCACAGGGACGGGAACAGGAACCTCCGATACCGAGGACGAGGGCTCCACGCCCAGTGCCGAAAATGCCGAGCGTTCGCTGGCCTCCACGCTGGGCGGCAGCTCGGAAAATCTGCCCCAGAGCAGCGGAAATAGCTTCCTGCACGCCGCTCTGCCCGAGGGACCGGGATTAATAACTTCGCCCATGGAACGGGGTGGCAGCAGTAAGATATATATATTTTTTATTCAAGAAAACCTCTTTCTAGATTTAATTGAATATTATCTCTTGTTCCCAGGTCGCCGCAGCATCAGTGCGAAGCACAATACGGAAAATGGGAAAAGCGTGGCCGCACCGCCCACCATCACCAAGTCATATACGAGCACCAAAAAGGAGGAGCTGCTGCAGGTCATCAACAAGGTCAAGCAGCAGCTGGAGAATGTAAGTGTAATTGGAGGGTCAGCAATGACCTTTCTCTCCGTAGAGTTTGTGTGCCTTCGCGGTTTTCCCATTTTCTTCCCACTTTTATTTGCCCATTTAATTTTTGTTTTTCTCTTTTGTTGTTCTTCTGTATTTTTATGTGTGTGTCCCATTATTTGTTATTGGTGTCTGGTCTGTCCTCCAATCTCCAACCCCCCAAACCCCAAAAAACACATGCACCCAAAAATATAAAAATAAAATCCCTGCCCGATTTTGTGTGTTTAGGGTACGCGCAAAAATGGCAACACAAGGTTGAATGCTATAGCCGAGGTGAGCCGATTTATCATGGATTCCAAAGACTGTTTCGCTTTTCTAATGATGCTTCAGATTTGTACATTTTGACAATGCTTTAAAAACTAACGGGAGAAAGACTAAAAGCTTTACATTTGCTTAAAGAGCAAATCACAAAAAAAAATTCCATTCACATATATTTTTCCTAATTTTCCTAATTATTGATTAATAAAGATGTGTGATGCTCCCTTCACCCTTCTACTCCATATAACACCACTCAAGCAACTTGAGGAACCAGAAAACCACTTACTTAATTCGCAAACTTCACTCAAAGATCACACTTCATTTAAAAATTTACGTAACTTTAATTTATGATTTGTTTTTAGGGTGATAACTAATTTTAATAATAATAAAACCCAATAATTTATTTGTTTTCTAATTTATTTTCACTTTCAAATCACGTTCCACTTATGCATTCAAATAACTTTGAATATTTTTAAAAATCTATTGTTTTACCTTTTTAATTATGTTATTACTTCCCATTAAATAATGTACCCCACACATTTCGTTTTCTACTAATCAGGTTGTTGTTACGTTAAAATTAACTAATTCATATTACAAATTAACATAATAATTAATAAAAAATATTGTTTTGACCCACAGGTAGGCCATAGACCCCTTCGGGGAAGCCATAGCATATCGGACCTGAGTCTGGCTGCCAATTTGGATGGATCGAGGAATGCGGGCGGAGGACCGGGACGTTACTCGAAGCCAGGTAAGTGATTGGGAAAATGGGAACCCCCCGAGTTAAACCAAATTATAAAATCCCCTCCAAGTTGGATAGTAGGCTAATCTCTCTCCCGTTGTTTGCTCTCTTTGTTGTCTATCTCTCTTTCCAAATATTGCTCTCCTTTTTGCGATCTCTGTGGTAAAAATAATGTAATGCAATACTATGTTTGATAAATATTATGCCCCCTAAACGATACTTTGACTAACCCCATTAGTTGCTTCCCATGACACTTCGCAGTGTATTAGCTCCCCAAACACAACAGCAACTGCTGCTGCTACGAATTCCCAGCAGCAACAGCAGCTTTATCAAATAACCAAGGAGCAACATCCACAAACCCAGCAGCAACATCCGCACTATGCTCCTCCTGCTTCCCAGCAATTCTTCAATTGTGCCGCCCCGAAATCCAAGTTGCAACAAAACTTCCAGACGATGCGACAGGTTCAACAGCACTATCCTCCCTATCCACATCATGTGGGTGTTCATCAGATCCATCCACCGCCTGGTGTTCCCTTCGGTGGCTCTGCAGCGGGATCCTCATCAGCAATGCGTTCCCAGCAGCAGCAGCATCATCACTACCAACAGCAGCAACAACAGAGGGCTAAAAGAAATCCAGCTGGAAATAATAGAAGAACTCCCAGTATTTTGAAACACTACAAATCCTGTCCAGTATCTCCGGTCCACGAAGAGGTTGAATGGTCCGCCGAGGGCAACGAAAGAGGAGCTCTTCTCGGTGAACCCAAAAGGCACTCGGTTTATGCAGATGATGCTAGGACCATTTTGGATATGATACATGCGGATACGGAAAAGATGATTGATGAGATCACGAGGAAGTACGGAGATCTGGATGAGCCCAGTATACCGGCTTCCTACTCAATGCCGGCGAATCTGAGAAACCTGGGAGGACTGGGTTCCACTGGTGATTCCACACCCACGGGCAGAACCACTCAGTATTATGTTTACAGGGAGTTCTATCAGTGCGAGAGGAAAGTGTCGCTCTCGGATATTTTGCAACCCGAGCAATTTGCCGCCAGTCAGAGGAGATTGGATGAGGCCAGGTTCCTGGAGACGCAACGTCATTCCAGTGCCAGTTTCTTCTTAACCGGCCAGCAAAGTCAGGAGTCCCTCTCCCTGCTCTCCGATGGCGAAGGAGGTCCTGGCAGCTATTGCAATAGTTTGGAGAGCGTTCTGTCCGACGAAAGTGATTGCCAGAGTGCTCCGCTGGAGTATCCTCAGACCCAGGTGGCTGTTCTCCAGCAGCGTCACGCTGGCATCCGGAACTTTATCATCCACGGCCCGGTGTCCAAGTCGTACGGGAATAGCCCGAATGCCTACGGCAGCTTTGATTACTATATGCGGCAGCAACATGCCACTGCAACAACAGATAGCTTCGATGTCACTGGCTACAATTTGGAGCCACTGAAGCCATTGCCCAGCTCGAAGACATATCCGCGAATAGCTCCGGTTCAGGCTCAGGCTCCTGCCGCCTCTGAAAATATACCCACTCTGCGCTCAAAGAGCAAGCAGTATAATTCGGGGGTTAACAAATCTTTGAGCACTGATTTCGCCCAACAGCGTCAGCAGAGGAACTCGAATCCCATGCTTTTCGTACGGAAACCCCTTAAACCCAAGCCACCGGTGCCGGTGAAACCACAGAATCTAATCAGCACCCTGAGTCACATGGAGCAAAGGCAGCAGAAGCAGAAATCCCAGTCCAGAACGGCCAGTGTGGTGCAGCAATTCGAGCACAATTTGCAAAAGTTCGAAAGGGAAAAGCAGAGGGAGAGGGATCAGCAGAGGAGGCCGGCGATGAGGAGTTCAGTGAGCTCAGGAGCTCTAGCTGCCACTCAGAGTTGTTTGAAGAAAGTCTCCCGTTTCGATACCAGCGAAAGCAGTAGAAGAGCCACCAGTGTGAGGCAAAAGAGCAGGCCCAAGATTTCGGTGCGTTTCAATACCGTTTCGCAGATCAAGTATACGCCCAGTGCCAAGAGGGAGAGGGAGAGGCAGGCGAGGGAGGAGGAAGAGGAACCACCGGAAATGGAGGTGGGCAGCCTGCCCAGCGATTATGGAGAGCGTAGTTTCGAAATGTATTTCGCGGAGAACGGTAATGCCCCGGAGAACTTAGAAAACATGCAGACCCTCAAACTCTACACGAAACCTCAACTCCAAGCGGTGGTCGATGAGATCCAGCAGGAGCGGGAAAAGTACAGGAAAAACCTGGATAATGCTGGCAAAATCAGTGGGGGAAAGGCAGGGGGAAGTACCAGCCATCAGTGCCAGAATATAGCCAAGAAGATAGACATAATCGAGAAGTTAATCGCCATGGAGGAGAACAAAATGGAGCAAATTCGCTTGGCCACCGAATCGCGTTTGCGGCCCTTTAACTGCAATGCCAAGGAAAAGGGTTATGTGAAGAGTCTGACAATGAACTTTGACATGTTGGCTCGGGGGGAAGAGCCCACAGAGGATGAGGAGCTGACCTCCAAGGATGCCCGGGATCTGTGCGCGTATGCCAGGAATATACGCAGGAATTGCAGTTTGCCCGATGTCCTGGAGAGCACCGATTTCACGGGGATCTACAGCAGTCAGGGTGTGGAATTGGCCAAGGAGGTGATAGCCGACGATGAGGGAGGTGATCAAGAGAGACCAGAAATCACCGAAGATATCACTGATCGCGATGACCTGGGAGGACCGTCGGTTGTTTTGAGGATGGAGCCAGGTTTGAGCCCCATTTCCGCCTTGGTTGTTGTGCCTCTTGAGTTTTCCGCCCACCTTCATTTGCGCACCCGCAGTTATTTAATAGTTTTTATTTTCAAATCCCTTATGACCACCCACCAACCTCCATATCTCGATATCCTAGCACAAGATATTATATGATAACTGCATGACCCGAACCGAAACTAATCTGTATGCACCCACTTTTCAGGCAATCCCAAAACTCTGAATCCCATGCCCATCGAGGAGTCCTCCATACGCCGCGCCTGCTCGCTGAGTGACCTGCACATGGGCAACTTTGGCAAGCGTAAGCACCCTCGATCTTGTATTATTTATTTTCATTATTAAGATAACTAATTGGTTATTTTTGATACCATTTTACAGCTGGCAAATCGAATGGCACGCCGCAGAAGCCGCAGGTTCAGCACCGAAATGGAAATGTCTCGCGTTCGGCCAGCAAAAGGAACAGTTTGCAGGGCAAAACTGGATTGGGTGCCTCCAGCAACTCCATGAATGTCCTCAATCAGGGTGTAAGTATTGCTAATTTAGTATTACAGCTTGAAAATATACATATATCGAAATTTGGCTATTTCTCGATATTTAATTGGTGTTTCCCTTCAAAACATCGACATAATTGAAATAATATCGTCAAAATATCGAAACAATCGATAATTTGTAAGCTGTATATAGTTTGCTACTTACTTAAATTATGGAAAATAAATGTATTTAAATTGAATATATTTTTAGAGCGATTCGGAACCCGAGGACAGCAATCGTTTGCGTAGTGCCACCAACGGACAGGGACGTAGCAACGGACCCATTGGTGAGTATATCTATATTAAATAATATTTAAAAATATCTAAATAATAATTTAAAATTCACAGCTGCCAATCGCCAGTACAGCAACAAGGTCAACAATGTCAACAACAATCGTCGAAAGACGCCAAACTTTAGCAGTGGTGAGTGCACTTTATACCAGTTTCTTGTGAAGCCAAATAATAATTTAAAAATCCCCATTAGCCACACCCATGCAGGACGACTCCAGCTCCGAGGAGACGCCCAATAGCACTGTCAACAACAAGCCCATTGTGCCACCAAGACCAAGAAATCTGGGCTTTGATCACAAGAGCAAGCTAATGATTAACAATACTGGCAGCCCAGGCGGAAATGCCAAGCAGAGAAGTGGAGTGACCTCCACGGAGGATTACGAGGGCACAGATCGTAAGAATATATCAGAAAATATATCAAACTTTATCCTAATTGATATTACTTCTTACAGCCGAGGCCCAAGTACACAATGTGATTAATAAACTTTATACGACTACACAGGCAGCTATGCAGCTGCATGCGAATCTGAAGAATTCGCTGCTGCTGAAGGAACTGGAGAACGCCCTTATTATGTCCAGAAATATGCTGAGCAGCATCACCAATAGGTGGGATAGGTTTTTACTTATTTCTGGTTCTTTTTGCATCTATAGCATTTTATAAATTAGATTTGAAATTTATTTTATTTAATTAACAATATTAATTGTATCACCATTGCATCTATAGCAGTTTTTAAATTAGATTTGAAATTTATTTTATTTAATTATCATCATGAGCTTAAAAATAAAATTATAAATAACTAAATTGTATTTAAGAATTATAGTCATTCTATTCTATTCTATTTATTTATTTGTATGGAGACCATAAAAAATGTTATAAAATTTTCGATAAGTTAATTCAATTAACTTAATTGTATTTTAAATTCAAAAATGCTGTAGATTCATGGAAAGACTAGCAATAATCCAAGTCAAACACAGGCAATTTAATCAAAAATTCTCCTGTCTTTCAGACAAGCGGATAAGACAAACAACGGAGGCGGAGTGGGCGGGGGATTGGGAGTGGGTGGTAGTGGGGGATTGAACCACGAGCAGCTGAGCGCTGACAACGGAGACTATCTGATGATGGTCAACAACTGTGCCGATCTTTTGAGCAATTTACGCACGAAGCACAAACCCGATGACTGTGAGAATAACTCCTAGTGTGTAGAGCTTAGGCTAGACTAAATGACTAAACGAGGGCAGAGGAACTGCGGGAAGGACTAACCAAGCAACACCTATTTATTTAACTGAAACTGAACCACACACACACACAGGCGAATGGCAAACAAATCAAGCAACCAACCAACCACTAATTTGTAATTAATAACCATTCACAGATGATGTAAATTTATTTCTTTAGCACTTAAATCAAGTTGCGTAGCCGCTAAGTTTTCTGTTTCGTTTTTGTGCGCGTGTGCATTTCTTTTAACAATAATTTATATTGCAACCGATTGCGTTTAGCTTGAATTAAATTCTGTAAATGTTAAGTTTAATAAGCAGTTTTTGTACGTGTTAAGTGTTATTTGAGTTTAAGGCGGCGATGATACGGAATGTCGAGCGAATTGTTACAAAGTGCGCTTAGTCTATGCCTTTTTTTCTGTATGATTTATATTCTCCATTTTGTTTATACTCTGTTGTGAATCAGTCAAAATGTAAAAGACAAAACTACGAGAAATGTGTGTCAAATTTGAATATTCCAAAATTTCAATTTATACCCATATACTATGTATGCCTACTCACATTATACTTATACGCATCTAGACATGCCACAAATGATTATATCTGAGAAATGCTTATGTGAAGAATCAAAGATATTTCAGACTTTTGATCAGAGCGAAAAAAAAGAATGTATTTCCAAACACTTTGTTCTGTAATTATTCTGTATTAGTTAATTATTCGATTGTATTTACAACAATTATAACACTACCTATAAATATACATATATACCTAGATATGAACTTGAATTAGTCCTAAAATTTACATTACAATAATTTACAACTAAACGAAATGTATTAAAATTAACTTCAAATAGGAAAAAACCGACACTTACGATTAATTATGCTATCTAAACTCAGAACTAAACTAAAAAAAAACCAACTAATTCAATGCGAAAATAATACATAATGCATAATTTTTGAAAACATTAAACTACGTTTCTTCTTCTTCACTCCTGTTTGCTGTTAACAACAAAAAATCGCCCATTCTGTTAACAACTAAAACCCGGGACCCCTTGGACTTGTGGCCTAAATTTTTCTTTGATTTGGCAACGAAGATTTGGGGGTCTCCGATTTCTAATTCCCCACAGATCTGCCCATATGCAATGGTCATATGGCATCAGGATCCCCAAAAAAAAGCCAAACTTACAAATGATGTTATATAGGATGGGCTGCATTCAGAACCAAATAATATCCTCATCCGCACTCGATTAATACAACTAACTGGCAGGAATTGTGTATTGTGTAACATTTAAGAAATATTGAAAGCCGTATAATAAAACATAATTCAACGTTTACCGGACAAGAGAAAAGATTGAGGAGTCAATTACAGATCGTTTAAAATTACCTTGGCAATCAGGGTTTATTAAAGCCATTAAAGAGATGATTGCGCAGCAGGTGATGTAAGCGCCCAACATGTGGGACACAATTGGGTAAACCAGCCCCCAAACGATGGTATATTATGGGTGTAAGGGTGAACTTCTTATAGAGAGAAATTTTAAAAATCTTTAAAATATATTTTTAGGGGGAAAATGGAAGAAGTATAACATAAACTTTTGTAAGAGACTTTCATATTTTTTTATATCGTGCACCCTTGCCTGACATCCCACTAAGGTCCACCCCAGAGTTCCACCCACCCGGGCAAACCACTTTCTCTCTCCTTTCCGACTTCACAATGTGAGCAGGCAATGGTTGTTCAATTCGGCGCTGACCCACGGCTAAGGGATGGCCATTGATACGGATACTTTTGGCAGCCGTCGGGCTTCAATTAACGTGTGTCAATATTGAGCTAGGCCAACAACCGGGAGTCCTTGTGGACTGGTGGAGAGGCAGGGTCCTGTCCCACTCGATAACCCAATAAAACTGAATGGCCACGTTCGATGATGGACTCACCCCGAAAGCCAACACTCTCCCTCGGTCGTTTGGTCTCTTTCTGGCATTTATGCTTTATGCATAATTTACGGCAGCGTCCAATCATAAAGCGGGTGAAAAAGTTGAGCACGAATCGTTCCCCGTAAGTGCCAGACACGCCCTTGGCCTGAGCCACCCAACTTTTCGAGGTCCCATCATCACCTGAATGTGTATCTCTAACCGTGAAAAAAATAGAAAAAATTAAGTGAACAATATGGAAAGACTTTTAATTTTTGGTGGGTTTTTGGAACAGCATTTTTAAATTAGCCAAAGCACCTGTGGTTTTAATTGGCATTATTGATACGGATAGTTTTTAATATTATACAACAATTTAATTTTATTCCTCGTCTATTTAAATGTACCTATTAATTGACCACTATTTTGTATTTCTATTTTGCTATCGCACTGGCCTTCCTACAAACTTCAAACTGATAATTTTCGGCAGGTAAAAAAAAAACTACAAATTAAATTATATATTTTTGAAAGAGCAAACATGTTTTAGATTGGAAAATATATTGTGGTTTTTAGAACAAAGTACTTATGGGAAGAGCTTAAAATACAATTGAATAATAAAACTATGAATAATGAAAATATAAGCCTGGGTAAGTGAACATTTAAGCCTTAGTTCCTAGTAGAACACATCGCAGTCCGTGTAGGTATAGAAAAAAGTCGATCCGCAGGCGCTGCTGCCATAGGCTCTAACATGATTGTATCGCCGAGCCACGTGAACCACATAGATGATGATCAGAAAGAGCAATCCGAAACAGGCGGCAATAAGAAAACGTATCCGACCCTGAGATGGGGATTTCCGGCATACAGGCTTCATTTTCAGGGCATTATTGAGCCTCATTTTGTGTCCGCACTCGCAGCACCGCACATCATTTAGGATCTCTATCATTTGGCAGCGACGTTGCTCCTTGTACTTGCTAAAAGTCTCGTATAGGCCATCGATCAGCTTCTGCACCTCGCACATTTTCTTGATATGTTGTGAAATATAATTGATATTTTAGAAACTGATTAATTGACAGAAGGAAAAAGGCACTTGTTCTAGAAATATTGCTAACTCGAGATCCCAATGACATATGAATACAAGATACAGATGACATTTATAAGTAAATACCCAATCCTCAGATAATCCTAGATCTTCAAGGAAATATTTATGTAGTAATAACTCGAGTTATTATCAGGATCTGCACCATCAAAAAAATCCCAGAAAATATTTATTAAGTTTATTAAATAAATCTCAGATATAACAAGATAATTTTGATGTACAAGAACAATTTAGGAAGAGCCGCCTCCACTTGAAGAAGCACTGTCACCACTTTCAGCACTATCACCACTATCACCATCACTACCACTCTCATCTTCACCGCGGCCACAATTTCGGGTAACTAGCAATATGATTAGAAGTATGATTATGATCCATACAACGTCACGATAAAGAATCATGGTAGCCACGATGTATTCATGCTTTCCAAACTTGTGACGTGTTTTGTCGTGAACTATAAGTTCGAGGTCGAACAAAACAACCATGATCAGAACCATTACTAGCAGGAAGTTCGCAATAATGTGCAGCCAATATCGCAAGAGACACACCAACAAGATGCCGTGAATGATGATAAGTACCCCAGCTGCAAAGAGGTAGGCCAACGGAATTTTATGGCCAATCTGGCAGGGAACGAATCTCGAATATATGACCATGAGCAGTATCACAAACGCCAGAGTTCCGCAAGGGACCAGTATCTATTTAATAGGAGAAATTATAAAATTTAGGAATTTAGGAAAGCGTATCAAGAACTTACCACCCACGGTTTAAAAAAGATGGCCACCGCGGATAGTAAAATGGAATGCACAACGATCCATATTATGAAGAATATAATTTTGACGGGCCTTTTCCGCATGAGTTTCATCCCGAAGCACAGGATTGCCTGAACTGCTATAAATGCAATAAATGCGGGAATGAAAAATATCCATGATAAGGCGAGAATATACAAGTGGCTTGGTGGATAGGTCCAAAATATGACCAGTGGTAAGAGACTCACTAGCAGGGTTGCCTAAGAAAGGGGTTTTACTTTAATTGTCTGGATCTTGGGTCCATATACTCAAAACTCACGTCCAATATGAGCAATACTCTCCAAATAAACTTACGCTTGACCTTGGGATTAGCGAAGGGATTTTCTTCGCGAGGTTTAGTGCAACAGGCTATATTAAAACCGCAGCACATTTCTCGGCCTTTCTCCTTTCTCCAATTGTATATGTGTCTATCGAGTTTCTTGATTTATTTTTGTGTGACGGCAAATGCTAGGAAAGTGAATGCAAAGAAAAGCATTCTTAAGCGGCTCACATAGACCTTTATTTATATTTTATTCATCATGAATCTATCAGGCCAATTAGGTCCAATAGAAATAGAAAGAGGAATATAATGTCGCTGTAAAGGAACATGGCTGCTAATATGAAGTCCTCTTCGTCAAACTGGTTCTTGTGCGTTTTGCCGCCAATCAACATTTGAAGGTCAATCACGATGAATATGGAGAATAAGAGCACGCCAAAGGAGACATATACTATCCGAAAACTTGGAATAAAAATGGCCACTATACCCATGATCAGTACTACTATACACAGCAGAAAAACAAAGACCCAGCAGCCGGTGAAGTCACAAGGAGCAAATCTGGCAAACAGACCAAGCAAAACCACAATGGCAGCACAAACGGCGACAGCTATGAAAACCTAATGGGAAGTTATTATAATATATTACAAGGTTAATATTCGAGATAAATAGCTTACCAATTTCGGATGATATCGAACCGCGGAACAGGACACCAAGGCGGCATGAGCTATCACATATATCACCAGCAATATGTATTTCCAGGGGGACTTACGAAAGAGGCTGATGCAAAAGCACATCATAATGCAGATTGTAATTATCACAGCCATTGCGATGAGACCTATGTACCAGTGTCTTAGTAAGAACCTCCTCGCACCCATGTGGAAAACAAAGAAACTCATTACCATTACGGTGAAAATCAAGTTGATCTGCAAGGGATTTGGTTTCACGATATATCTATTTAATATTTATCTGATCCATACTCACGGCCACTATCATAAGAACCTTGCTGATGAAAATCCTGCGGGTATACGAATCGTCAAACATCTTATTCTCCTCCCTCCTCAGCCTCCTGTCCCTGCCAAAACACGACATGGTTTCCTATTCAATGATGATCAAGTTCTCAGACCTTGGAAGTATACAGATTTTATTTATTTAATTTTTTAACTAAAACAATTTTAACATATTTTTTGTCTGAATTTGGAATACATTTAAGAAATAGGAAAATTTGAAAAAAACTAACATTAATGACTTCCTATAATTTGACACTTATAGAAAAGACTATTTTACTTTGTTTCACAATAATTTGAATTTAAATTCACAAAATTACTAGTCATCATCATCATCATCATCATCTATCCAACCGGCGAGTCTTAGTATGTACATAAAGAGGTGTATTACGTCATGGTAAAGGACCATAGAAGCAATAATGAAATCATCCTCGTCGTACTGACGTTTGTGCATTTTGCCACCTATAACCAATTGAAGATCATATACTATAAATATAGAGTACGCGAATACGCCGAAGCCTATATAAGCAATATAAACTTGTCTGAAAAAGAAGGCTGCTATGCCTAAACATATTAGGATGATACCAATAATGAAAATAAATGAGTAGCACGAAGTGAAATCGCAGGGTGCGAATTTTGCGAAGAGACAAAGGAATGCGACTAAGACGGCACAAATTCCAAAGGCGAGTAGAACCTGCAGGAAGGAAGTCGAATTAGGATTCGGCTATATAAGACTGCCAGTGATCTGTACTCACAATAAGCGGAGAAAATTTAACTGCAAGGCAGCTGACCAGAACGGCATGGCATATGACGTATATTACCAACAGGATCCATTTAATGGGCGATTGTCGGAAGAGGTAGCGGCAGTAGCACATCATAATATGAATTGCGAATATGATAAGCGCGGCGGGAAGGGCAATCCACCAGTACTGTCGTAGAAATCGCCTGATGGGCACCACCGTTACACAAATCGCCATGGCCGCTGACGTAAAGCTCAGGTTGATCTGCAATGGACAATTTGATCTCTGGAACAACCTGTAACCCCATCACAATCTATACTCACGCCCACTATAAAAAGGACCTTGGTGACAAACTGCCGACGGACTCGCGGATCTTCAAACACATTGTAGCCCAACGTCGACCTCCTGCCCATATTGCAACCCGGCATTTTATCGAGTCCCAAGAACGTAAATGTATCGTGGAAATGTGTGTATTTGTGTACTAATATATTGTGTGATTAAAAAATCAAAGGATAATAGGTAAAGTTAAGTTTTTGTCCTTAAAATTCTCAAAACAACATTTTGAATAGTGTTTTTAATTAAAAAATGTGACTAATTTTAAATAAACGCAGGTATTTAAGTAAGGTTAGTGACTTGAAATCGTTTAAAGGTGATTACATGATTTAGTATAGTTAATTTGTATCAAAAAGATATTTGGAGGTTTAAAATCCCTTAAAAATGTGCTTAAAAGTATGCTGTAAATTTTTTATTAGAAACTGCAAGGCTTAATTACGTATGGTTACATAAAAATTGGTTTTACAGTGAACTTTTCTCAGTCGTCTCCTCGACTTTTTATATGCATCTTTTCCCTAGATTCTGCATAACTTTTTTCTAGCCAAAAGGCGCCAAACCAGGCCGAAATAAAGGAGACTAATAAATAGAATGTAGGCGGATCCCAGCGAGCAGCTTTTCACGTAATGAGCGACGCCTCGCTGCCCGCCAATGTAAAAATGCGGCGTGGAAAATCTCGGAAGCTGCCGGCGCATTCGTGACTCTTCAGGCAGCAAAAACCTGCGGGGCGGTTTTGTCCTCAGGTGTGAATAAGCGTGCAAGAAGTTGACATAAAGCCAGGCAAACGGGCGGACAATGGGCTGGAGCAATGGAATCGCAGGACGATGACGAGAATGAGGAGGATTCGCAGGACTCGTCGGAGAAAAGGAGAAGCTGCATTGGCAGTCGCTGAACCGCACTAATTGAGCCGCGTTACGTCGACTCGAATGCATTTCAATGTGTTGCCAAGCAGCCCGCCGATCCCATCACATATTGTCATCGTTTTCCGGCCTCTCGCCTCGAGCTGGGAAGTCGACCAACTGCTGCCCGGAAAAGAAAACCCAACCGTACCATATATAACCACCCACCCATCCGGAACCTGATCCCAGTCAGCTGCTCTTCCTCATAAATTGGATCGAAGGGTCAGGAATAAGCTGCGATTGTCTTGCAAAGCTCAAATATATTCGTTGACCCATGGGGGATATTATTCATAAAAGATATGAGCATCCAAATGAAAACGTTTATACAATTTATTCATTTATTTCTAAGTTCATATAGTTCATATATAGTTTTATTTCTTAAGTTCATATACTTAAATATAGTTTTAAAATAAATGGATCTTACAAGGAAATGTACTCAAAGTTTTTAAGGTTTTTTAAGGGTTAATAGCTCAATAAATAGAGATCTACCAAAAGTAAAGAGTAAATGGAGCTTTATTCATTAAGTTCATATACTTAAATGTATTTTTAGAAAATGTACTCTGCTTTTTTAAGGTTTTATAAGGGTTAATAGCTCAATAGCTAGAGATCTCTTAAAAGTTGTCAGGATCTCTTCAGTTTATAATATTTATTTGTGCTAACTACATTTTCAAATTTATTATAACGATAGAATTATCCTGGTTTAAAAGTGATATCCCATATAAGTCACCTCAAGGCTCAGCTGTATTTTTTGCTTGTGCACGGGACCCAACCTCCCTCTAGAAATAAAAACTATAAGTACTCATATAGAATTTTGTAATGCACGCATCTTGAGCTCACCCGTGGATTCCTCTTTTTTCTAATGGCAGCCAGCCATTGACATGGGACACTTTCGATGTGGAGGAGAGATGGCAGGAGATCATGTCATAGTTCAGAGAGTCGACAATTAACGTGGGTTAAGTGTTGTTTTGTTCTCCTTTTTTTAGCCAGCATATTGTGCGGAGGAGGATACACTTATATGGCCATTAAGAGGTGCCGAGGGTGCCTCGTAATTGAAAGGAAAATGCAGCTTTAGCTTTTTAAGAAATTGTAATCACAGCAGATTGCGCTGGGCTGAACTCTCAGCTGAGCCGCGTGAAACAAGGATGTACAAGGATACAAAGATGCGAGGATACAAAGCTGAGATAGGTCACAGGCACCGGGGCCAGACAATTCCTCGCACTTGGTGGCGTAATCATATCCGGAAGAGATTACGCTGCAATTCACGCTCGACTTACATCCCTGAATCTTCCCTCCTCCGGTGCATCCATCTCGTGTCCTTATTGTTCTGCCTCATTTCGGGTGATAAGCGCAGTCGTTGTCTGCAGCATTTTCACCCCCCGAGTGTCGGACAATGGAATTGGATTATAATTTTTTATTGTGCAGAGCGAGCAGCTCGAGTGCTTGGGTTTTGGTTTTTCATACTTTTCCCCCTGTTGCGTGCTCGAGTTGTTGTGGCACAATCAAAAGGGGGCGTGCCACGGGGCCCCAAACCCCCGATAAGAGTTATTGATATGCTAAAAACAAAGGACGAAAATATTATGCTTATTTCAGGAGGCTACACAACAAAATTATGGCGCCTGCGGAAATTGTTTATGGCGGGTAAACAGTTTTTTTTGGGGTATCGAATGGGGGGCCGCAAATATGGCGGAAGTTATTATTTATTTTAATTTTAAAAGAATGGGAAGACACAAATGGATTTAGACGAAAAATTTTTATTTTTCCTGAAATACATGTAGTTTTTAAAAAGTATTTTTCAGGGGAAAATACGTTTCTTTTGAAAAATATACAACAATTTTGGATCAACGTTTTTCGCAAAAATTCTTGTTGGTTTTTTCCTGTAACACGGTCAAAAATGGTATTAAACAGCTATTGATATATTAATATTATTTTTTTTCCAATTTCTAGCTGATTTAACAAAATTGAAAACAGAAAAATTTTACAATATTAACTGTTTTCAAAGCTTTAAAATATTTCCTTAAATATTTTATAATATAATATTTACCAGGACCTATATGGTTATTTATTTTAATTAGATTGCACCATTTTAATTAGATTGCACCAATAATATTAAAGCACAACTAATTGAAAGATTAGGATTGATTTTCCTTATTCGTAATTAACGTTAATAAAAATATTTTTATATTTTATCAGAATATGGAACTTTTAAAGATATCGAAAACTTTTTGGGTGTCCTAATTTTTTCCCAGTCTGATATAAAATATACTTATTTTTCTTGACACTTTCGCAGTTTCTCACTTAACCTCTCATTAGCAGCATCCGTTTGAACTGAAATCAAAACAAATTCACAGACCGCGAATCAATAGAAATTAATTAGCTTAATTAATGTCAACCGGCTGGGTGACCAAATCGGATGGTCCGAATTTCGAAGTGCCAAGGCGTCCCATTCGCATAAGCGGGCCGAGAAGTGCTAAAAGTGCGGAATTATCCGGGCTAGATCTGCATGAAGTGCTGCCACCGACCAACCGCGTTCAATTAGCCAAATAAGTCAGTTTGTGTCAGTGCGGTTGAAGGGGGAAAGGGGGTTGGATTTTGGGGGAGTACTGTGCATAGATGGATAGGTAGATGGACACTCGAATGGTCGACTGGGCGTGCATAAGGCAAACATCAAAAGGAATCGACTGGGGGAGCGGCCAACATGACAACAGCTCAAGGACCATTCACATTCATTTCACAATTGGGGGTTGGCCTTCGAGGATACGATGATAGGAATCGAGGAATCGGGTTCAAAAGAACGCCGCGAGGCGGTGTCAAAAGTCATCATCGAAAATTGGGCACAAACCGGCGAAGCTATTCTCTCCTCATCCGAATTGTCAAACTGAATGGCGCTGCCTTTCCATCAGTGGGCGGTGTGCTTGAGCATATGCTGAGGGCCCACTGTACGTCAGTCGTCTTTGATTATTTGCATAAAAAAACAACGCGTCGCATCGCTCGATTTCGCTTTTCGTTCCCATTTGGTTATTCGATTCGGTTTGAATTATTCATATGATAGGGCCAAAGAAAAGGGGGAAAAATGTCAACTCAAGTGGACATCACATGCGTCCTTCCTGACGGCGGTATTAAACCCTTACAATAGTCCGATGTCACCAAATCACATTTAGCAGGATGACAAAAGAGATCTTTAAATAAATATAAATATTTGTACTGGGTTAACAATATTTATATTTGTTCTAAAGCTAAATAACGTTTTGTAATAAAATATTTGAATTAAATTTAAATTTTTTTAGAAATATAAGTAGTTAATAAAGTATAGCTTTAATCTTTATATTTCAAATATAGTATGTTCTTGGGCTTTTCAAACATATGAATCAAAAATTATTTCTATATCTTTATATTCGTTAACTGATTTTAAAATTGATCAAATATTCCTAAAGATAAGCCAAGCCCCAAAATGTATGCAATAATTTTTTCTTAATATAAAATTTAAATACTTACTTAATTCTTCCTTTTCTTATTAATTGAGCTACCTTATCTATAAGGATTCTTCAGTTGCATTTTTATGAGAAGGCCCAAGAAAAAAGAACCCCACCCATTTGTGGAACCATTTGCACTCCGGGATTCCTTGTCTTTTCTCGAGCCACAGATCAAAGTGCTATGCAAATGATTGAGTCGTGTGCCTGGTCCTGCCACCTGCGGAGTTTTCCCCGAGTGGGCGATGGAAATGGGAAACGGTAAAACGGCAAGGGGGCTGGTCGCCACTAATTAAGTTGCAAATGTCATGCGGCAGACGTGGCGACAGTTTAGAGCCCATTAAACGCGACTCTTGGGCACGAGTAATGCAGCAATAATTGTTTTCATTTCGCATCCATTTGCATTTTTAAGGATCGCAGGAGACAAACTCAATGGCAGCCCATACCGTTGCTCAGTTATTTGCATATATGTTGTTGGGGAGGTTTCATTCGGAGTTAAAAATACCTTTTTTCCCCATAAAAACACCTTTACCATTTAATAATTGAAGAATTGATTTATTGCTTAAACATTATCAATAATATCACTTAAATGCTAAACAAATTCAATGCATTCATCGACCGCCGCTAAAATGTTTCTCAATTTCTTTACTTTTGCGTTGGATTACACAGACACTTAGGGATATACGTACAGTACAGATATCTAGTACAACTCTAAGATACACTTTCGTTAATGTATTTCGGTTGACAGACCCCAAAAAAGCTCTAACACATATCGAAACTTTGCTCTCGAGGATCCGTGTAGCCTATCTACACAGAACTCAGAGCCCTACACATTCGTGACTAACTAGGTAAATCCTTTAACTACATCTATACATCGAGAGAGCTGCTTAAATAGAGTGTTTCAATATGGGACTTCTTAGGGATATACTATATACAAAACGCTGGTTGGAGGAGAAATGTCTTGAGCGGTTGGGTCATCGTGTTTATATTCTGAGTGGGGTATTGCACAAGTTGAAACCATTTGGTGGCTGTTGAGGTTCTTCTTCGGGGGGTGGATATCTGGATAGAGTGGTGGGTGAGTCCTTAGAAGAGTCCATTCAGTGCCCGGACTGCACTGCCCAGAGCCGTGCATCCGAGTTCCGGGGATGGGGACTCGCCGGGTTCCTGCCCGGAATTCGAGCTGCTAGCAGCGGCTGCCGCTGCCACAAACTGCAGTCAGTCGATCAGTAGATCGCTCCTTGAACTGGCCATGGATGATATGGTCGTCGTGGTGGTGGTCACCGTAGAACTGGTCGCCGAAGTCGTCGACCCCGTGGAGCTGTTCAGGCTATCCGCATAGTATCGCTGTCAAAACACCTTGGCTATGAAGGTCTCCGAGAGTCTCTGCTGCTGCTGTTGCTGCTGCTGATGATGATGATGTTGCTGCCCCTGCGGCTGAAGTTGCAGGAAGGCGGAGCCACTGGGATAATCATGTGGTGGCGCCACTCCTCCCAGTTGATGGTGGAAACCGGCGGGGGGATACTGAGATCCCGAGGATCTCGGCCAGGCTGGATTGCTGGTCTCCCCGCTGGAAAGTGGAGGGGTAGTCACATTTATGGGCGGCGACATACTTCCAGAACTCGAGTCCGGGGTAAGTTGTCCGGATGCTTGTCCGTAACTCGCGGACAGAGGCTCCCTGCGCGTATACTCCCTCCTCCTGTCATAAGTCGATGGCATATCCAGATCGTCCAGATCTCCACCGATCTCGTGCAGCTTACGCATATGCTTCTTGAGATCAAAGTTCCTGCAGAATCCCTTGGCGCAAACGCGGCAAGTATAGGGCTTCTTATCGTTGTGCGTGTGCATGTGGAAGGTGAGGTTGTACACCTGATGGAAGGCCTTGTTGCAGATGCTGCACTTGTAGGCCTTCTCCCCGCTGTGCGTCAACTTGTGGTTCTTGTAGTTGCCCTTCTGGTGGAAGCCCTTGCCGCAGTACTCGCAAACGAAGGGCTTATAACCCGCATGGATGCGCGAATGGGTGTTGAGGGTGGAGGAGCGATTGAAGGCCTTGCCGCAGGTCTGGCACTTGTGCGGCTTCTCCGACGTGTGGATGATCTTGTGCCGGCAGAGAGTGGAGGCCTGCCGGAATCCCTTGCCGCACACCTTGCACACAAATGGCCGGGCTCCCGTGTGAACGGGCATGTGGCGGGTGAGGTTGTAGTGGGCATTGAACACCTTGCCGCATTCCAGGCAGGAGAAGGTCTTCGGTTTGCCGCCGCCATTCGCCGATCCCGGACTGCTGTCCTCGATGGATCCTTGGGGTGAAGCTGAACGAGATCGTGGTCCTCCGGCACTAGAAGTGGCAGTTGAAGCGGGTGGGGGAGTCACCTCGCCGGATCCCTGATCCTGCGGCGATCGCTTCCTCTTAAGATTCGCCTGCAATCCCGCCGTCTGAGCCATCGACCTCTGTGCCACTGGTGATTTTTCTAAACTCTGTTGGAGATTGGGAACCGCTTGGGATTGGGCCACCGCGGCCACAGCAGCTGCCGCAGCCAAAGGATGACCTAGATTTCTGCGCAGCGACTGTGAATGATGCAAACTGGCATTCAGGGAGGCGGTGAAGCTGCTCAGGTGGGCAGCACTGGCCAGCGACTGTTGTTGGGCGGTCAATGCGGCATATTGAGCGGCAGCTGCGGCGCACATCAGCTGATTGGGGGCGTAGTAGAGCAGGGGGTACTGGGAGAGCAGCTCCTGGTGGCGGGAGCTCACAAACTGCTGCACAGCAGCCGAGCTCGAAGGTGAGTTCACCACCGATGCAGTGGCGCCCGAACAGGGACCCGGCACATACTTCTTGAAAGCGGAATCATAGTTCACCGCCGTCGTGGGCGAATGATCCAAGCTGATCACCTCGATGGGGCTGCAGGATCGCTCCGAATCGGCATCGATTTCTGGATCCTCATCCTCTTCTTCTTCGTTGTTGGTGGGAAACTGGATTGGAATAGGCTGAGTAACTTGGCTTTGCCTGTGATCCGGTTCCATGATCTTGGCTATGGAAAACTTCAAGGGACACGCCCTCTTAGCGCTCTGCTCCTCCTGCTGCTGATTCTGGTCGGAGGCGGCACTCTCCATCACGGGACTCTTCGACGGCGGCATCATTGCGACTTCTCCCGCTGGACTACACGGTTGCATGCCACGCGGACTCTGAAATAAAGAACAAAGAACCAAATTGAGTATGCAAACTAAGCAACGGGTTATCAATTAATCGAGGGCTTTAAACAGTGGGGGAAAAAATAATAGGTGAACCACCGCAGGAAGTCTTACCCCTTTTCCCATAAAATTCTAATGACTAATAAATATTACATATAAATGGTAAAAATATTTAGGAATTTTTCCTGAGATTATTCTGTTTTTTAGACTAAAAGCCCCTATTGTTGTGACCCCAGCTGTAGGCTTTATTTACCGCCTGATCAGTCAAGTGCGATTAATGCGTTGGCAATTCGGGAGTACAAACAAACGCCAGCGGAGGGCGTGCTCCCAGCGGCAGGACATTTCCGCAGGATAATTCATGGCCAGCCAGCGGGTTGCAATTAAGCCCGAAACCGCAATGCGTTTAATAGAATATTTTTCCCGATTTTTGATTTTTGCATATACGCATTTGCATTTAACCCGTGCTTGCCATTGGACTCACGGTCCACTTAACCCAAACAAAGGGCTCAATCCTTTCGTCAGCATATTGCCATCAATCATAACACAGATTTGTTTTTTGGCGCGGGTCTTGGCTTTATGAGCGAATCATTAAATCGCTTACACTTGGCTGGAGCTCCATCTCCATCTTCCCCATGTGCCCTCGAGTGTGGCTAATGTGCGACATCCGGTGCGATTACCCGACTTCCTTGCCGCTTTTAATTAACTTGATTTGACGCCTCAATAAGTCCCCGGGTCCGAACTGCACATGGAACTCGCTCATCTTGAAGTTTCCCTCCCAAAGTGCGGTTTAATCTTATTAAAAAGGAGGCGTTCACCATTTCACACGCTGACCCGAAGGCAGCGACGGTCAGCCCCCTGGATTTCGAAACTTTCCCCGAGTGTTATAATAATATTCCTTATATAACAACGAGTGTGTGCGGTTAAAGTTTTAAGCATCCGAATTATGTTGGTGTTCTAGTGGCCACTTGAGAGTTTGCTCTTGAAGAGTGTGTGCTGAATCAAGCTTATTAACCATGTGTGGGGAATCTAATTTGATCAGCATATGAAAATTCGGGAACTTTGTCTTGGGTTGAACAAGTATCTTGTTTTAGAAATTTGGACTTAATTAAGTTTTCTAACACTTGAAACTTATTTTTGATGAGGTTAATCAAAAAGTTTTAAAAGTTTAACGTGGTAAAACATAAAGATATTGCTAAGTTACTGCTCAAAATATTTTAATTAAAGTAAATAAATACCGAAATGAAGTTTGTAAATAATTTTACTGCGAATTACGACTAGTATTCACTTTGATCTAAATTGAAAAACAATAAATTTCGATGTTTTTTAAGTTTTGAGTTCCCGTCGGAGTTTTGGCACCCAATTAAAATCTAATAAAAAAGTACTATGCAAATACGTACAAAGTAAACCATATTCAGGCTCTGCCTATGTGGGATATCCAATTCCTTTTGGCAGGCGGCCAAACTCCACTTGTTAGTTCCCAAAAACACAACTATTGACACACACAAATTAAACTGGTTTTAAAGTTTGTCCTTTTGGTTTTTATCTCATTCAGAGTTCACTTGTTTCGTACAAAGGTAGTTTTATTCGAATGCAAATCGAGGGACGCGAGAAACAGGACGCGTTCTGCACAGGATCAGCGACCGAAGCGGAATGAAGGCAAATAGCGAACGGTGCGGGCCTTAAGAAATATGAAAAGGACATACGTCGAGGTCTGAGGGGTGAATCCTGGGGAAACCACCCCTGAAAGTCCTGTGCAGGCAACCTCCCTTGGCCAGAGTGAGAGGTGGAATACACACAGAGAGCAAGGGAGAGAGAGAGAGACGGACATCCTGAATGGGCGTTAGAACGAGATGGATTGATGGGAGCGACAGGCAAAAGGAGAACTTCATCATCACGTTCAGATTGGATGATATATATCCCACGCCGACGCCTGCGTCGCCGTCGACTGCGACTGCATTATGAATGAAAAGACAAAATGTCGAATTGGAATATTATGGTGAAAGAGAGAGGCAGTGCGAAGAGACCGCCCCTAAAATATTTATATAGAGATAGAGCTCAAGAGATGATACATAGCGAGGAGTGATGTGATGGAGGAGGTGCAACGAAAGAGATGGATATATATGGAGGTCTGGAGCGGCAGAAAGAGAGCGATGGAGCGGCCACCTTTGGCCGTATTCCGTTCACACTTGATTTGGATGAGGCGCAGACACCAAAAAATGGCAGCCACCGGTCTCGTGGATCCCTCTCGAGTTGACTTTTTCACTAGTCCGCCCATCCCCCCTGTCTTGGCCACCCCCTCCGGTTGAGCCCTTGCCTTTTGTTGGGCGTTTCAATTGTCGTTTTGGCATTTCGTTTTATCAGCGTCTTTGTTTGCTCACCTTTAGCCCGCCAGCGGGCAAGGATTCTCTGATTCTCCAGCCCTCCACCCCGAAAACCAAAGGCCTCTTCAATGTCCTGCTATCTTGCAGAGAAAATAATGCAGAGAAAATAATTCAGACGTAATCCAATTAGTAATCTTTAATTTACTCAGGGATGTAAGCCTCAGAAATAATATGAAATATTATATAGAATTTATTATAGAGTCTTAAAATAGTTTTTAAGTTGTAATAAAAATAAGTTGATAAAAAATTATCATTTTGTATCATATCTCGAGTAAAATGAAGTATCTATTTGTTAAATATTTTAATATTATGAATTATATTTAAAACCATAATCATCTTTATAATTTTTGTTCCTGTGCATCCATTCTTTGCCGTTTAATTTGATACCCCACGAACATGGCTAAACCAGCACTAGTCAAATATAATCTCATATTCATTTTGATGATATTCTCCAGCGCGGCTTTCTTGACTTTGTTTGCCCAGGGAGCCACTCTACTGATTCCCGTTGCCCCCTTCCCATTTTCAGGACTACGGTTCCAGGACTTTTCCTTGGCTATTGCAGGGCACATGGCTGCTATGGCTGCTTTTCACTGGAGTTGAGCAGTTGCAGCTGCAGAATCGCACAAAAGCACAACTCTTCGGGGACTGCAAAAGAGAGCGTAGGGAGGATTTAAGGGCTCCTTGAAGGACCATGGCCGCCATTTCCAATGCATTTTCAGGTAAACTTGCTCGTTGTGCGCCTCTTGTGTGGGGAAATCGATATGCAAATAGCTGTTCTTTGTTGATTAGATATCGCCATTTGAAATAGGGGTTTAAGGATGGGTTGAATGCGTTGTAAGTAGGGAGTTTCAGATGTACAAATTTTCTTTTGGCAAGTTGAAAGTTTTAAAATTCGAATTTACTTGGTTAAATAGTAAAATTCCGCATGAAATGTATTTTATAAGTGTCATATTAAGCATTAAATCTATTACAATTCTGTAAATTTTAATTACAGTCAATTGAAAACACAAAGCCATTTGTATAAACTGTTTTCTTTTTGTTCAAAAACTCACGTTTTAACAAATTCACTTCTCATCCATCTAAAAACTGCGATGATACCATTATCCTTGACAAATGCAGCAAAAACAGCGTGATTAACTAGAAGCAAAATGAACGGCGCATGCAGAAATGTGCAATCTGCATTTAGTTGAATAAATAAATGCAACGAAAAAAGACAGCAACAACGAGAAAATAGCAGCACACACAACAACAAACTGGACATTCAGCAAACAAAACGACAACGGCCTATGAAGCTTTGATACACTGATAAAAAATATTGAAAGTAAAAAATAAGTTTGTTAATAAAAACTTATTGTTTTTTAGTTATATTTCGAAAATATTATTCATAGAAAAATGTAAAAAGAACACCCCAATTTTAAGAAACTAATAGTTTCCTTCCAACATTACTATATTTTACTCTTTGACTAACCCTTTTCTTTCTCTGTAACCCTGATTTTCCCCTCTCTTTTTAACCTTATCTCTTTTCTACTATCTCTGCTCCTTTTTCACCTCTGTTGATTTCTATTCAAAGGCCATGCAAGCATGACCAAACACACACACTCAAAAGAGGGGCAAAAGGAGGAGGGTACATATATCCTTGATAAGGACAAGGGGAGGAAAACGGGGTGGCGGAGTGGACTAACTGTAAATGCAGAGCAGTGCAGAACGAACTAAACTAAACAACAACAAAAAGAACTTGAAAATCCAGCAAAATGTGCAAAAATAAAATATAAAACAAAAAGTGCAAAAGCTGTGCGAGAAAGAGAGCAAAAAAGAGATGCAAATAGAGAAGAGTTCAGAGGTCAACGGGAAAGAGATGGAAACAGAGTGCAAGCTCTGCTTGTTGTTGCTGTATGTCCTTTTTTACCGCTGCTTTTTTTTAATTTTTAATGAGTTTGCAAAATGGTTGCGGTGCTCTTGGATTTCGCTTTTATATTTAGAATTCTTTTTTTTAGCTCTTGAGGGGTGAGAGTTCATTTCGAGGCTATATAAATTATTTCGCTAACGAGAGACCTTTGAAATGTTAATGGTTAAATGTGAAAGGGCTTAAAGATTTGTTTTACTACGATTTGATTGCCGGAAACTTTATTAACTTTTACTTATACTTTTTATCTAAACGTTTCCAACAAAATTGCTAGAGCCTAGCTGTTATATTATCCTACATTTATTTTAATTTTCTAAAAATCTGTCATTTATAAAGATCATATGTGCTCTAATAATTTATAAATTTTAAGAGGATATTTATATCTACGTCTTATCCTTTCAACCCACCTTACTGAAATATACGGTTAGTGGGCGATCCTAGCACTACGCCTCCCGACTGATCTACTAAACCAATAAAACGCTTCGCATTTCTCGCACCTCATCGGAAAATTAACCTTAAAATTGAAGATTTACACCTCGGAAGGAAGCTGGACTTTTGGGCTGATGCCAGATTGCAGCAGAGATTTCGTAGATTTTTTCCAGGGAAATGAATCAATGCGATGGGAAAATGGTTTTCCGGGGGAAGCAAAAGAGAGCGGCTTGCATAATCTGCGGTAAGCCAGGAGCGATTACAAGGCATTGAACAAGGACCTCGGGACGCGGCGTAGCCATGAGATACATTTGTCCGCAGGACGAGTATGCATATGTGTAACTAGGACGAAAGCGGCGATGGACAATGGCCGGCGATGAGGACCTCTCAAAGGGAAACTCAACAGCTGCCCCGAGGATTCGTCCTGCGTCCTTCGTCCTGCTCCGCTCCTTTGTGGGAACGAGCCTGTGTGGGTGAAGCGCGTATCCAGGGGCAGTGGAATATCCGATTTGCCGAGTGAAACAATTGCGGTGTTTGACCAATTTTACAATTGATGTAATCCCCTAAATCGCCTATATTAGCCATGAGCGGCTTCAGCATCCTTGCCTCCATTACGATTGTCAAATTGAAATGTTTTCGGTTCATTCAAGAGTAAACACAGGCACAAGCGAAAGCAGTTACACTGAGAAAAATATGGGGTGTAAGGTAGAGCAATATTAACGAGAATAAGATGACTTAAAGAAAGTAAATACAGGTCTATAAAATAATATTTTATTTTATTT